GCTCCTTCCTGTTTCTCTGGTCCCCTTATCTCAGCCTGGCCAGTATCATTCATCACCCGCACAGCAATCGCCTCCCCCATCACCCGCCGCCCAGCTCCCACTCAGGCAGGACATTTCCTTGGCCTGGTCGCCACCCTGTCTTTCCCAGGCCCCTTGCACACCTCGGTCGTGGGCTCACCACTAGCCCCCGCCCATCGGCCTGCTGTCAGATTCCTGACCCGTCACTCACGCCTAGCAAGTCATCACCGCGGGCGTTCAAGTGTCAACAACACCCCGGACAGGTGGCCTCGGCCGGGAGCCTTCGGGTAGATGCCCCCGGCGCCCCCGAGGCTCCTTCTCTGGCTCTCGAAGCCTCGGCCCGAGGTTCGCCCAAGCTCCCTAAGCCGCTTCACGAAGGTGTCGCCTCGGCCAGGGCCCCGGCCCCTTAGTCCCCCTGCTGCCTCCCATCGTGTCCCGTCGGCCGGAGTCCTTCGTGCCTGCCCCGCCGCCTCTGGTCCTGACACCTTCGTCCTCCCTCAGCCGAGGTCCCGGCCGGCCCTCGGCCCAGCGCTTACCCGAAGAGGCCGGAGAAGAAGGACTGCGAATTCTTCACCTTGCGCTCCGCCTCGGCCAGCAGCGCCATCGCCTCCGCTTCCTTCCCGGAGTTGTCCATGGCGGCCGCACAGGGACTCGGCAAACCGTCCGACCCGGGCCCTGGGAGGACTCAGGCCCGGCCCAGCCGCAGGACACAGGTCGGGGTAGCTCAGCGGGATGTGTTGACGTCGCTCAGGCGCGCGCCGCCGACGGCCGAGCACCACGTGACCCCCGCCGACCAACCCGCAGCCTCGTAACACGACGCGCGTCCCACTGGCCACGCCCCCGCCGGGCGCCGCACGGGGCCCCGTGACCCGCGGCCTCCAGCAGCCGTCCCGGACTTTGACGCGTGCGTACACTTCCGGGAACTGCGCCCGCAGGCTCCTTCCGACGCGCCAGCAACATCACGTGACCTAGCGCAACCCAATCGGAGTGCGCACCGCGAAGAACCCGCCTCCTTGTGTACTTTTCTTGTTCCTACTCCACCAATCAGCGGCCCTCGCCGGGGCCCGCCCCCTCCCAAGGGGGGGGGTCCTTGGGCTGTAGTCAGCTGACCGCCGGCCCCCACGTGACAGTTGACTGTGGTCTTGCGCAGAGATTAGGGCTGCGCTGCGCTTTAATTGGGAGGGCGTGTGGGGTTAATAAAAGAAAACATCCTGCCTTTTCTTGCGCCCTCTACCGAGGACGGCTGAAAACGATTTGGGGGAGACCGGAAATGAAACTTGAGAGAATGAAACAGGCAAGAATTCTTACTGCCTAACAAACAGTTGAGTGACCTTTGGATTGGAAATAATAGAATCCAGATCCGAAGGTACCAGAGCTTATATCGTTTGCAGATGGCTATGGACAATGGAAGCCTAAGGTCCATTTGTAGGGTCCACACATAGTTTAAGCCTTCCGTGAATCCGCTGACCATAGTGGAGGGATGCGAATAGCCGAGTTATCAACATTGTAGTCAATGATGGTAGGTATAATTAAGTTAAAGGTAATCTCTTATTTGAGCTTCCTTTTGACCCACTTAAAAGTTGTTTCATTTAAAAATTGTTTTTAATAATTTATAAATTATCAAGGGCTCATGAGGAAGGGGGGAGCGGGGAGGGAGGGGGAAAATGAGCTGATTCCAAGGGCTCAAGTGGAAAGCAAATGTTTTGAGAATGATTATGGCAACAAATGTATAAATGTGCTTGACACACAATGAATGTATATATGGATTGCGATGAGTTGTACGAGCCCCCAATAAAATGATCTAAATGAAAAAAAATATATCTTTAAAATGAAGGGGAATACACATGGATTAAACTCAGGTGAATCCATCTGGCCATAGACCAGGGATGGGAATAGCCTTGCGATCGTGCAGAGTGCACTGAAAAATGGATTGTGGAAGATGTCACCAGGTTAAAATTTAGACACATTATTTGATCTCCCCTTTGGGCCAGTTCAAAGTTGTTCTAGTTTTTAATATCTCTTTTCCACGGAGATTTTTGTTTTACTTTGTTTTGGTCTTTGTATGGTTTTCTGTATATGACATCCAAAAATAACCAAACTCACTGCCATCGAGTCTGTTCTGACTCAATGGAGACCCTATAGGACAGGATAGAACCGCCCCCTGTGGGTTTGAGAGACAACTCTTTATGGGAGTAAAAAGCCTCATCTTTCTCCT